GTTCAAACGATAACCGGTAAAGACACATCAAATCCATTTATGGCTGTCACTTTACCAAAAAGTAAAGATGAAGGTCCATCGAGAAGAAGACTACCCAGAACATTAACACAGGGAGAAGTGTTAAAAAGAAGAGTATAATTTCAAAAAAGAAAAAAAATGAAAAAATAGAAAATATAATCAAACAGACATTGAAATATTTTTTCAAGAAAAGGAAGAACAAGACAAACACATGATTAAGAATCCAAGTCCAAGTCTAAGTCCATATCCAAGTCCAAATCCAGAAAGGACCCAAAGTTTAGAAGAAGATGATAACTATGAAGACAACCTAAATTATCAAGATGCCCAAGATCTATATGAAGATGAGTCATAAATGAGTTTTGATTCAATAGCTATACATAATTTAGACACATAAAAATAAAGTCCCAGTTAAACAGCAATTAAAGAGCACCAAAGACAAAGGAAAAGTAACAAGGCTGGTATACAGAGCAATAATGTTAGCGTACCAATGAGAAAAGCAAGAAGGTAAAGAAGATGTGACAGGAAGAAATGCTAGCTGTGCTAAAAGATAAAAGTGACAAGTGACAAGTGACATAAAGTAGAGAAGATATGACAAGAGGTAATGTTAGTTGTGCTAAAAGACAAGTTAAAGTTTTGAGTGGAAGAAAAAGTTACAAACACGGAAGGAATCTCCGACCAAGCCATGTGAAGATGGGGCCCAATGAAGTACCCTGCAAGGCTGGATAAGATAGATTTCAAAAGAGTTTGGAATCCATTTTTCAAATCCGTTCCAAAATTTAGCTATAAAAAGGAGAAGAAAGCAGAAGAAAAAAGAAGATAGAAGAAGAAGAAAAACACTCCGAAGAAAACCCATCCAACCAACCTTTTCATCATCAACCCCCTTCCAAAACACTTTGTAAAATATTTCCTTATGAATACTTCAGTAGTTCCTCCTCTAAAGCTTGTAAAATAAATAAGTCCTTATGCTTATGTGTGATCGTGTTTAATTCCCAAAGCTCAGTAGACTTTTTTGGGTTTCCCCAAAGGGAAATCTCTCTCCTATAAGCATGTAAGTTACTCATCTTTATTTTAATTATGTTTCTGCTAGATATTACCCCTGTTTATTTTAAAACTTTTTGTTATTCTGTATAGTTTTATATTTCATGTTCATATGATCGATTATTAGATATCACTCTTAGTATATGGTTAGTTTCCCAATTTCTTAACAATTATGATGGATTAACCTGTAAATTCCTAGGAGAAACTGGTTAAGTAAAACTTGAAAACAACTAAGAAGGGTATAAGTGATTAACCAAGGCCGGGGTGAGGTTAAAGAAATAAGAGTTAAGAAAAGTGTTAAAATCTTTAAAAGATTGGGAAGAAGAGATGAACAGAGAAAAAATAATAGTAAAGGGGTAATCTCAGTTCATAATTTAGATAATATGGTAACTATACAAGTCTATAGAATAAGAGAGAGAGAGAGAGTACCGAGTAGGATTTTCACAACATAAGAGTTTAATCGCAAAAAATAATTTTATTGTTAATGTCCAATAATCGTAATAACTATACAAATCCAGAAAGTTTTTCTAGGAGCCTTACTCAAAGTTTGGAAGAATTTATATTAGACATAGAAACCGGATTCTATTCGATAGTATATTTAGCCGTGCATTTTATATATTTACAGTATAATAGTAGTATCTGTTCATATATATAGAAAACAACTGCATTTGATATTGTTAATATTATCATACCATCAATCATATCATCTATACCATCTAAGAAGACGATTTTAATTTTTAACCCTAAATTTTTAGACGACTTTAACTCTATACCCCTCTTATATATATATTAATACAAGGATACATTATTATGGTGTCATTGCCAAATCTGATAAGCTCGCTTCCAGTACAATCTTCTTTATACATATTCTATGGTTTTGTGCTTCTATCTCGCAACTTAACCAATCTTTTAAAATGTATTATTAACGAATTACACAACAAAGCAATGGCTGAAAACCCACGTGGAATTGCTATAGCTTGGAACTTCAAGAATAAATTTTTGACCAAGAATTTATGTGATGATGGAGATTAATTACCTTTAAAAAGATATAGACATTCTTTACCTAAAAAGAGCGTAATTGAGAAATCACCTATGATTAGTGGCGCAGGATCCCATACTCAATAGATAGTTCCCCGCCCCTCTATCCTACTAAAAAGGAGAAGGTAATGTGAAATGCCAAACTCTCTCACGTAAGAGAATACTTTTTAACAAAAAATTCAATTATTAAGTTATCAACTTCGATTGCTCTTGACTATCTCTTATATATTTGTTAATATGAAATTTGTTATTGTTTCACAATTTTCCTTTCAGAAGTAAATATTATATTTTGTTGTATATTAGAAATCAAATAAGTTAACCAGAAAATATCAATCAGATTAACTCATAACTCGAAAAGAAAAAAAGAAAGAGAATTGAAATTTCCATATTTTCTTAAGAGGTGCTCTTGATAAAATTTTAACAAACAACAAAAAGTCAATCAAACAATATGGGAGAGTGTTCTACATATGAACAAGTCCCATTTTAGTTGAACAAGATGATAATGAAACTAAAGAGGAAGACCAACTTTTTTTTCTCAAAAAGATTAAAAATAAATAAATTTAAGGTCTTCTATTTATTAAAAGTTTGGCATTTGATCACCAATTTTATTGAGACACCTCGGCATAAAAGCATACTCCATATGCAAGACCGTTCCAAGTCTTGTCTTGTAAGGAATTCAATGACGCATCTTCTGATAGCAGCAAAGACAGTTTTGAGAACCAATATCATCTTCTAGGCAAGGAGGCACAGTTGTTCCAACCTGGTACCATTTTTCCCTCTCCTGCATTAAATCCTTGAAGAAATTGTCTATCGTTTCTCTGCTGATGCCTGGCATAACCACAACGTGTGCCATATCTCTTGTGCAAGACAGTTGCCATTGGCGAGTGAACTTAGGGTCATTAGGTCGTTCGAAGACGACGATAATGCTAAACTCAATGAGCATAGCGCTAATTCCTGCTTTATGAAGCCGGTCTTTCAAATATCGAGCATTTTCATTGCACATTCTGGCATCCTGTTGCAATCCGGCATGGCCTTTCATGCATAAATTGTACCATAAGAGTATTGGTGTGAAGCCATTTCGACTGCCAGAAATTGTAGCATCAGTGGAAGCAATATACTCGATTTTTGTTGACAGACTAGTCACTAATGTAGCTTTTCATTGTCATCTGAATGCCGCAAGGCATTGGACTTCCCAAGAATTCGTGGCCTGAAATTGAAACACTGCCTATTGGCTTCTTGAAGGTAATTGTTTTCGCCTGTTGTCGAATACAATAGAGAAGTAGGTCATGATTTTCTATTTGCTCCCTAGATGGAAAGTTCCTTATTTAAGAAAACATAATGGATTAAATTAATCTTACATGTTGGATAAATGGGATAATTAGCCCATATAGTGCAGCGTCACAATGGATGTAATACCTATCATTGGAATAACCACATTTTTGAAGTATTTGTAGGATCAGATCAAGATCATCAATAGCTCCTTTGAAGGTAGTTCCTACAAATATGTTAAATATTAGTACTCCGATCCACATATGAGAATCAGGGCAGAGGTACAATAATAGGTACGAGTATGAATGAAGTCAATACCTTTTGCTTAGACTCTATATTTATATCTGAAATCTATATATTAAATACGTATAATAACTAATTGCGATCCAACCAGCAACTAAATAAGCTATGAATTCAGTGGCAAATTAGAACTCATAAACTTTAAATCCTGGCTCCTTCAGAAGCTAAGAATTAATATTATTACCAATATTGACTTTGATGATGGCTGGTTTGTTCTTGTTGAGAAGTAACTTTGATCTCAGATCTGCATAATCAATCTCTCCTTTAACTAAAGTGTTGATTGTTTCTAGTTCCATTCTGTACATTCTTGCTGCTTTAAAAACCGAGTAATGTGAATCCTTTGATGCATAAATTATCCCAGTGGGATGGAGTAATTACTCAAATGGTCACTCAACTATTTCAAATTATCTCCTAAAGTCACTTTACTTTCGTTTGTAACAACAAAGTCACTGAACTATGCCTATTGCACTCAGAAGGTCACTCAACTAGATTTTCCAAATTTTGGATTGCCAAATACCTATTTTACCCTCTAAATTATAAATATTTATCTTCTTTTTAAAAAAAACTTTTTAATATTATGATTTTCTCTTTTAATTTATATTATGGATATAGAATAAATAAATATTATTTATAAATTAAAAAAATAGAAAGTATTTAAGAAAATATAATGCTGGAATAACAAAATAATGAGCATAGTAAAAAAATAATTAGAATAATATGTTAGTAATAATAATTTTAGTATTAACAACAAAAATTCAAAATTTATTTGCACAATTCAGAATGAAAAAAAATAAATATTGTAAAATATATATTCCATGCACATAATACAAAAATAATTATTTAAATGAAGGTATTTTTATAATATACATTATATATTCTTGAAAATTATGCTCAATTATATTATATATTTTCCATGCACGACTTAACATAGCATATTTTACCATATACAGATAGTTCCTCTGCTTTCCGGTGATATAACTTTGTGTCGTCGGAAAGTTGGTAGAAATATAATAATATAATTGAGAATAATTTTCAAGAATATATAATGTATATTATAAAATACCTTCATTTAAATAATTATTTTATATTACGTGCATGAAATATATATTTTACAGCCTTTATTTTTATTCATTTTGAATTGTGTAAATAAATTTTGAATTTTTGTTGTTGATACTAAAATTATTATTACTAACATATTATTCTAATTATTTTTTTACTATGCTCATTATTTTGTTATTTCAGCACTATATATGCTTAAATACTTTCTATTTTTTTAATTTATAAATAATATTTATTTATTCTATAGGTAAGTCCATAATATAAATTAAAAGAGAAAATTAGTTGAGTGACCTTCTGAGTGCAGTTGTCAACATAACATCTTATTTAAAAAAAGAAGATAAATGTTTTATAATTTAGAGGATAAAATAGGTATTTGGCAATTCAAAATTTGGAAAATCTAGTTGAGTGACCTTCTGAGTGCAATAGGCATAGTTCAGTGACTTTGTTGTTACAAACGAAAGTAAAGTGACTTTAGGAGATAATTTGGGATAGTTGAGTGACCATTTGAGTAATGGACTCCAGTGGGATGTAGCTCTCTTCTGCACAAATATTTATTCAAATGGGTAAAAGTGAAATACATCATTTGGATCTGAGGTCTCTAAATATATAAAATACTCTTTCTTGCTCCTTCATCTTAGTTTCAAATGAAGATGGGGAAATTAAAGTGAAACCTACCCAATCAAAAGGCCATGAAGATTTCCCTCTGTGCCACCATTGGTAATGTATCCCCAATATTCATCCTTCTCAATTTCCCAGAGTTGTGCAAACCAATCTAAAACAGCAACTTCAAAATCTTTTGAATGGAAATCGATAGGGTTCTCAGTGAAGGGATCTCCACAGTTGTTCAAGTGGAATTGCAAAAGTGGAGCTAAAGCAGCATGATGCTCGTAACATACATTCATTGGATAACCTGTGAAGGAAACCAATTTAAAGAGTCTAAGTTTACATATTTCGAGAAGAAGTATGACTAAAAAGGTTTTTTTTCCTTGAAATAGTGTCTCTAGTTCACGTTGAGAAATTAATTTTGGAACATGTATGAAATTAACTAACAATTTATATTTTTTTTAATGGCAAAGGGCATAAGTACTCCTCTGTACTATGGCTGAATTCTCAACTACACATCTATTATTTTCGGGATCTTATTACCCCTCCCCTCCCCCGAACTTTTTTTAAAGTGAAATTAGTACCATCATCGTGAAATGCCACTACCATGTTTTTTGTTTTTGTTCCCATCTACTTCTTTTTCCACCTTCTTTTCTATCTCAATCCATTTTTCTAGCACATACACGACACACAAGTTGCTATAAAATATAAGTTGTTCAATTTAACCAAACCCGAGAAATAATTTTAATATGATAATTATAACCAAAATAACTCAATGCATATCTCAAAATTTTGCTTCAACCAATAAATTTTTTTCAATAAATGTCGACATCATGGTTCTGTTTTGTGGGTGGTCAAATCACGAAGATAATTTTGTGGGCTTCTTCTGGGTTTAATTGGAAGTTGACTTTGGGACTAGATTTTTTTTATTCCTTGCTATGAGAAGCAACTACAATTGAAAACTTAAAAGTGGTGCGCGAAGAGATTAAAAGTAACAGTAATCCTCTATAAAATATGTAAAATGTGGAGAGGAAAGAATAAAATCTACAACTCGATCTCGCGAAAGAATATGGAGAATGCTGGAACTAATTTCCGGCCAAATTTATAAGTAACGAAACTGGAGGAAAGAAAGAAAAAGAAAAACAAGAGAAAAGAAAAAAAAAAGAAAAAGAAAATAATGTATTTTATAAAAATGTTGTACAAAATAAAATTTCAACATTCTCTCTTTCTTACCCTCCTAATGGGTGATATACACTCTCTTCTGCCACATTAGTATTAAGGGTATGCAAAATCCATTTAAAATTTATTTTAGCAGTAATAGGATCCCTGCAAAGAATGAATGTGCGGCGAAAAATTTGACCATAGGATAAGGGGTACTTATGCCCTTTTTCTTTTTTGATTAATAACTCGAGACTTCAAAATATATTGCACGCCTGATCCATTAGTTGTCATTGGTCCTGTTAGTTGTCGGAAGTATACGTAATAGTAAAAGTTGTACACGTATATACAAATTGTGGAATTGAGCCATTAGAAACATGTGCAGAATAAGGCACATTATTGTTATGGCATGAGGGCGAAGGACAGAAGGTAGCTAGGGTGACATAATATGAGAGAGATATTTAATTATCCTCATCCCTGAAAAGTTCGTCACACTTTCTCTTTTCATGACATGTTACATGTCCTTGTTTCATTTGAAAAGCTATGTTCTTTTATTCCAAAAATATCCTTCAATTATAGGCAAATAGGTATGATTGGTACGAGGGTTCTAGTAACTCTAGGAACAGTTGAATAAATATTAAAAATATTAATTTTCTGTGTGTTCCCCCTGATGAAGAGAGAGGTTGAGACAAGGGCGGATCTAGTACAAATATTATGGGTTCACGTAAACTCAGTAACTTTTGCATAAACCTTGTGTTTGTACTAAAAAATTATTAAAAATATAAAAATATTTAACTTTGAACTCAATTTATTGGTCCGGTTATATTATATTCTAACAACGGCAAATCAAACAAGAAATTATTTGATGAGCAAATGTGTTAATTAAAGTGACTGCATTACTATATGTTTAGGTAAGCACTTACCCAAATTAAGGCCAAATTAGGATCCACAGTCTCTTTTATGTGGATATATGTGTTATCCCTTCCGGTTCCTTCCGAGCTCTTTCGGAGGGATAGCAAAGAACTTTATCGTACTTCATGCAGCTGTACTACTATATAGTTGTTGATCTCGCGTCTATCTAATGATATTTAGCCTTACATAGCTTACTAGTCTTTTAATTTTATTTTATTAAAATTGTCTGTAAAAGTTAAATTTGATGACTATATTTATAGAAAAAGCCACTGAACTTATACTTACCTAAATGATATTCTTTCCGATGGGACAATGTCTCTAAATATTGAGTCAGAATTCTGTCCAATTTTTGGGAAGATATTTTAATATTTTTTTCATCAGGTTCCACCACACTGACACTCAAATTCTTCCGCGGTGGCGGTGGCGGTGGCGCGTTGAAAAATTTCAATTAAAAATTTGTTGGTACAACCAACAAGTCAAACTCCTATCTCATAACCACAAAAGAAAAATTTCAATTAAAATGTATTTTATGATTTAACATGAAAGAATGAGTATGCGGTTAATAAATAAATTTATCATAAAATAATACTAGTGAGTTGGAGATAGCATTATGTAAATTTTTAATTCTCGATTGTTAAATCATGTCATTTCTATATATTCTACTTTTTGTTCTTGACGTATGTATTTAAGATAAAATTTTATACTTTATTTCTATGGTTGTGATGGCCTGATGGGTCATCTCATGTTTTAAAACCTAATTCTGCACTTTGAAGCCTTAAAATTTTATTTTTACCCTCTTCGATTTGCATCCGTAATCCATGCGTGCACATTATTAGGAGTAATTGGAGATAGCATTATGGTAAATTTTTAATTCTCGATTGCTAAATCATGCCATTTCTATATATTCTACTTTTTGTTCTTGATATATGTATTTAAGAGAAAATTTTATACTTTATTTCTATGCTTGCGATAACCTGATAGGTCATCTCATGTTTAGAACCTAATTTTGCGCTTTAAAGCCTTAAAAATCTTATTTTTATCCTTCTTAATTTGCGTCCGCAGTCCATGCGTGCACATTATTAGGAGTAATTCGAGATAGCATTATGGTAAATTTTTAATTCTCGATTGTTAAATCATGTTATTTCTATATATTCTACTTTTTGTTCTTGATGTATGTATTTAGATAAGATTTTATACCTTATTTCTATGGTTGTGATGACCTGATAGGTCATCTCATGTTTTAAAACCTAATTCTGCGCTTTGAAGCCTTAAAATTTTTATTTTTACCCTCCTCAATTTGTGTGCGTAGTCCATGCATGTTTCCGGAAAGTCTTCATGTTAAAAACTGATAAAAAATGAAATTCTTGCTTTGAAAACTATTTGAATTGACTTTGGTCAACGTTTTAAGCAAACAGACCCGGATTCATGTTTTGATGATTTCGTGAGTCCGTATCGTGATTTGGGACTTGGGCGTATGCCCGGAATCAAATTCGAAAGTCCCTAGCCCGAGATATCGGACTTTATTGAAATTTGAAAGTTAAAGGCTTAATGAATTTGAAATGGTTGACCCATAGTTGACTTTTTGGATATTGGGTCCGTATTTTGATTTCGGTCTCGGTATAGGTCCAGTACCATATTTATGATATGTCTGTGAAATTTGGTGAGAAACGGAGTTGGTTTGACGTGATTCGAATGTCCGATTGTGAAAATAGAAGTTTCAAAGTTTTCTTGAAAATTTCAATTGATTTGTGTGACGACACAAAGGGTCATCACCGTAACTCTTCCTTGTTCCGTGCTTCCGAGGCCTTGGAAACCTCGCTTTTAGTTACCTCGATATTGCGTGCGCAATCCGGGCGCGAAGCCGAAAAGCTTTTATGTTGAAATATGCGAATGTTGCGAGAAATTTGATGAATTTTGATATTTAATACGCATAATATTGACATCGGTCAACATTTTGGGTAAACGGATCCGAACTTGTGATTCGACGGTCCCGTAGGGTCCGTAGAAAAATATGGGACTTGGGCGTGTACCCGAAATTAAATTCCGAGGTCCCAAGCCCGAGAAATGAATTTTTGTGTGAAATTATTTTCTGAAATTAATTAAGGAAAATGAAGAAGAAAATTGATCAGAAAATTGTGGTATCGGGCTCGTATTTTGGTTCTGACGCCCGGTACGAGTCTTAAATATGTTTTAAGCATTATCTGTAAAGTTTGGCTAAAAAC